TGCCTTATTTCTATTGCCACTCTAAGCAGTTCTACTGCTTTGCTTCCAGTTCACTAGCTTACTATTTCTCTAGCACCTCCTTTGCCTTTCTTTTTTATCCCTTGTGTGAAAATGCAAAAAAGAATGCCAGTCTGTATATGTTCATAATTCCCATGCAACCTGTTACATGCTGTGGCATACAGACCTGCAGTCTAGAAAGCATTGCCCAAAAGAGGTGAGGTGGTTCCTGCTCTGTCAAGTTAAGTACAAAAATCAAAACATTTCCCTGTTTGAAAAATAAACCCTAGGTTAGCTGTCAACTTTCTGACTCATTTTCAAAGCGCTTTCTTGTTGTTTCATGTTTCTTGCACGCCTAGACAGTTTAAAAAATGCTAAACGTCTCTTGGAAGTGGCAATTTTAAAATCCAAATGCCAAGTGCCATCTAGTGGTTCTTACATGTGTAAAATGTGTCTAAAAGCAAACTCCCAGTACTGGCCCAGTGTCTCCTGTTTTTGTAGATGAAGCACACGTAGGTTAGCAAACATGTTGCTCAAAGACTGGATCTCAGATAGCAGGAGGATGAATGTGGTGGCAATACTTATGTAAGCTGAAAAAAATGAGAAACAAAATGTAGTTTATAGTCTGTTTCCCTTCATTATGAAGTGTCTGCAAATGCATCACAAGCATTAAAGACCAAACATTCAAATAAAGTAAGTGATCTCATTGAAACTAGCTAACAATAGCATCTGCAGTATCATGTGGAAGAACAGGAGGGAGGATCAGTAGAGGAGCAACTTTTGAGCTAGTCATTCAGCAAAGATTTTCTGGGAAGTTTGGTTGTTTCCTTGGATATGCTGTGAATGACACATCAGAGAAATAAATGATGCAAACGAAGAGATTGAAAAGGGTTTATTATATGTAGGGTGCAGGAGTGTTCTAGACACCACAGAAATAGGGATGAAGAACCTTTTTTTTCAGAGACAGTTGGAAACAGCCTATATATGTGAGCAATGGGTAAAATTTCCAGAGAATAAGAATTTACATAATAACTTTATGAATGGAGCAGTGGTGGATGACAGTCCAGAAATTAGGGTGCAGGAGTGTTCTAGACACCACGGAAATAGGGATGAAGAACCTTTTTTTTTTTCAGAGACAGTTGGAAACAGCCTATATATGTGAGCAATGGGTAAAATTTCCAGAGAATAAGAATTTACATAATAACTTTATGAATGGAGCAGTGGTGGATGACAGTCCAGAAATCCGAACACTGAATGGATTAATGGCTGGACAGAAAGTCAGAGAGTGTAAGTGACTAGAGAGGAGAATATCAAGCTGGATCAAGTTACATATTCTACATACAGAAAGAGAAACATTTAGCACAGCATTTATGACACCTTTTTCCAACAGTGTAGGTAGCTAAAGCACTATAGACTGTTTTGTAGTCACTTGAAAGTAACAGGCAATTGCTGGGAGCAATTAATCTGGACTAATTGCACGTGTTTTAGGATGGACTGAATCATTCTCTGTCACCCTCTGACATATGTAATTTCATATGTCATTGTTGTAAAGGGGTACTATGGTGGATGAAGAGCAGTATCTACAGTGTCTACTACCTGTGAAACACCAGGGTCTGCAGTTGTGCAGCATCTTTAATTTTCAAGATCATTAAGAAATTAATTGCCAGTTTCAGTTGTTCATAGTTAAGCTCATGCTGTACGAAAGAGATGTGTTGTTGGAATGGAAGAAACAAATGATGCAGGTGTAGTAAGAATGGACTCATTAATTGTATCCTACCTCTGCAGAAGGGTATGTTTTCATAAGAGAATAAAAAGGTATATGACTGCAATATTGTTAAAAATCTGAAGTAACTGAAGAAGGGGGCAGTGAGGAACGGTGTGATTAGAACGTCCAGAAAGGTGCATTATTGTTTAGCAGCTGTACTTCTAGCAGCACACCAGTAACACCATCATTTCAGCATTCAGACCTAGACCAGTTTTCAGATGCCCATTGTAGTCATTCAGTGACTGTAAATGCCTCCAGGACATTTCAGCAGTTTTCTCAGATTTCCTGTACCACAACAAGTAAACCTGAAAACATACATAAATTGAAGCTTAATATTCTTGGAATTCTGATGACAGTCACTCAAGTTTCACTCTCATGACTTTTGATGCATTTGAATGTACTCTAGATGTAGGAAATACATATTTGGTGTTATTTTATCTATTTGATTTAAGGTGTCTGAAAAAGTATCATTATCTACTGTGCCACAAATGCCTGTAAAGTCCTAAAATATTAAGGAAGAACAAAGGTAAAAAGCACATTCCCCAGGAAGCATTAGTGACTTGGGATGTTTTTAACATTAAAACCTTGTATAGTGAGTTCCTTCCAGCAAGCCATGTTGAGATCTGATAAAATCGTGTTCATTAATTTTGGTAGGAATAGGACCTCAATATTTCTATATAATATTCCATGTAATTGAGGCTTGAATAGAGTTTTAAGATTGGATTTTTTAAAATAGAAAATGTACTAATGGAGCTCTGAAGTCCACGTTGTTCAGCTACCTTTTTTGCAGAACCTTAGCTCAGTCCATGCAGCAGCATAGCAAAATTTTATAAAGGCTTTCAAACTGTTTTCAGATTACTGTAGTAAATCCATCATCTTACACAGAGTCTATTAAACAAAAGGGAAAATTTGTGAAAGTCATCAGCTTCTATGGGTGTGCATGAACACTTTGATAACTCATCTCAGCTCTCACTGTTAGTGGAAATGGGGATGAACTAAAAAGGTTTGAAGTCTCACAAGATGATAATTATTCTTGTGTACTCCAGGGCTTGTTTATGCTGGCTCAGGCAGTCCATCCATCAAAGCCAAAAGAGTTTCATTTTGTCACTATCGTTCTGAGTGCTGGCAGATGAAGAAAATAGTTCCTTTGTCTTTCTGATTGCATGTATGTCACGTTGTTGATGTTGTTTCTGGCTTAAAATCAATTGGGAAGGAAGCATGACCTGAACTGGCTGAGGTAAACATTCTTTTACTTTGCATAAGCCATGAAGTTGCATCATAGAGATTTGGACTTGATTTTGACCCAGAACTGCAACTAAGAACCTAAGCATGTTGAAGTTCCATTGACTTCAAAGGCTGTCAAGGTGACTTGCTCAGATATAAACCTTGTAAATTGTGTATAGATGGCCAAGCCAACATCATCTCAGAGATAGCGTTAGTAATGCCCGAAGAGCATTACAGCATACCAGGCAGTGGAGGATAAGGCATTATGTTATCTACACATAGAGATAAACTTTGTGAAGTGTTCCCTATAGTAATCCCTTATTTTTGGCATCATCTTTCTGAACATAGAACAGATGCTGCATTTATAACTGTACCATCCTAAGATGAGTGAAGAAAGACCCAATCCTCATGAGCAAGCGACTCCTCTGGAGAATAGCACTTCCTTGGGAAGCTGTATAAAGAGGACTCTATGGAATTGGTGACCAAATGCAGATTTTCCCCCATAATCATCCTCTCGTCTTCATTTATCATCTCCAAATCCTGTTCTTGGTATTGTCCAGAGGCTGTCACACTTGGATATCTTCCAAAGGAAAGCAAGGCCCAATGTGAACACCAGACCACTGGCTGTCCTTCTTGTGGCAGCTAGGACATACCCACAGGGACAAATTCAACTGCTGGTCCTGTAACACATTCTTCTCTTCCCTAGTTTACATGTACTTTGAAAGTACGTTTCAACAACAGGATGCTGCATATTTTAAATCAACACAAGCTGTCCAAGTTTAATTGCACTAATACGGTTTAATACAAATACAGAGCTTCTAAATATTCCTTTTCCAGCTTCATTTGACTCATGTGGCTTGATTTTGGGCATGACCTCACTAGCACTGAATAAATTAATAATGAATTATGAATTCTATAAATATTCTGAAGAATAGTATGGATGTGAGCAGTTCCTGATCCAAGTTTCTTGTTCTCTGCTGAAAGGAACAAACTGTCCCTTGTACTTCTAATAATCTTAAGGAGATAATACTGGTAGGATAAAAGTTTTGTTTTTCTCTTTAGCATTAATTACCAATTTAAATTGTGGATTGCCTTATTTGAAGACATAAATACCCAGAATTTTGCACATTGTTTTAGATAACTTGAACTGAGATAATATGAGTAACATTTCCTTACTTCTTTGTCCTCCTAAGACTTATATTGAGAAACCTTCATAAGTCTCTGCTTAGCTTAGAACACATGGATTACAAGTAGATGCTTTTAAACAGGGTATGGTTGAGCCAAGTGCCTGTAGCAGGAAGATTTATGCTCATCCACAAGATACTGCTTTTGAGCCACGTTTTGGTAGACATCGACCAAGCAAAGCTGTAACAAATAGTTACTATCTATTTGTAAACAAGTTGTTACTACTACTGCTGTAAAACATGTCTACAAAATTTGAGGACCTCTTTCCTGAATTCAATATATATAAGCATTCCTTATTCAAATCTCGGTTATTTAGTTAGAGAGATGATTTTGTAAGTCCTTGCCCATTGTTCCAAAATTTCTCTAGTCATGATCCACTTCTGTCATGTATTTGATGCTGAGTCCAATGAACTACTTAAATATTTCTGTTCAATCTGCCTATTACTGCAGATAGAAAAGTAAATTTTAACTGTGATTAAGACATTCTCAAAATTTTGCAGTTGTTTATAATGCATATCATTGATCAGAATGGGGTTTTTAACATCTCTTAGTTTTTCTTAGCATCCTCACATCACAATGATATAGTTTTAATGAGACATTCTGCAAACAATATATTAACTGACTTAAAAATAAACTGGTTAATCAGCAGACTCTCATTATTCCATTAAAGTTTTCATAGAAAATACCATCTTTGCAACTTTCTTGAAAGAGTCTAATATTTCTTGAACCACTCATCCAAAGCTTTCACCAAGTCTTTATAAAGTAAATATGGCCTGGTGATTTGGACCAGACTGAGTTTTCAAGTCTGTTACTGCTGGTTTTGTTTCAGGGTGTGTTGGAGTTTGGGATAACATCACCTGTTGGCGTCCAGCAAAGATTGGAGAGACTGTCACTGTCCCTTGTCCAAAAGTATTTAGCCTTTTTTCTGGCAAACCAGGTATTTCATTTTAAGCTGTATTTTTACTGTCTTCTCTCTGGTATTTTGTAACGTAATGTGCTAACATATGGGTTATTTGAAGTTTAAATTTTTTATACCATTTAAGGAGTTACAATTCTTATCAGAGCTGTTCATGATACACCACAAAAAGACCAAGTTATCATTTTTGTGGTCTGTATAAGTGTTCTTTGAGCCAGATCCTAAATAGATATTCTAATATAGTGGCACTCACCAAGGCTGAAGACATTGCTTGCTCTTTTTTGATGTATTTTGTAAATTATTAAGGCAGCTGAGCCTGACTGACATCTCTAATGGTTCCCAGCAGGTCACATGTAGGTTGTTCCTTCTGTGCTTAGGAGGGGAGCTCTGCCTTGCATAAGAGAGAATAATGATCCCACATTAACACATAATACCTAAAAATTATCAGTGTTGCAATTTAAGGTAGTTATTATGAAATCTTTTATTCTGCATTTTGATGGAACTTGAGAAGAACTCATCAGTGTCTCAAACTGCTGAAACAATTAACTGTTTTAAGTCTTCCATCTTCTGCACCATCTCGTCATTACATTACACTGTGGTTTAATTTTGCACCGTGTCTTCTTCGTGGGTTTTTGAAAAGGGATGATGCACACATAGCATTTCATATGTATCTCAAAATGCAGCAGGACAAATCTTATCCCCATTGCTGAGGTGAGAAACTGTTGTCATGAAGAGGTGGTGAAATATGCAAAGTTTACCATGGTGATTTAATTCTGTCTTTGAGGTCCCTGTGAACAGCTTTTTAACCATATTAATCTTGACATAGAGGCTAACTTGGGGAATGACTAAAATACCTTTATTTTCAAAACTGTTGATTAAGTCTTGTTCTAGTAAAAAATAGATAACTAAAACAATCTACAGATGAGCAAAGGTTTTCATTCCTGGAGTTGGTGAATCTTGATTAGTTTATCACGGGTAGTCTAAACAGTTTATAAATGGAAAAGTATGCACAATCATCACTAAATCTTGTGAAATCTATAAAAGTATACAAAGATATTAAGCGTTGTCTTGAGACAAGCCAAACTAATAAATATTAAAAATACAAAATTTGAATTAAATCACACTGCATCTGTCTATTTGCCAAAAGCTAAAGCATGGAGTTTATTTCACAACTGTTAGTTATATTGCAACAACATTTTAATTTTACTATAAAACAACTGCAATAAATGTTTAAGTCTGAAACCTTCACAGTGTATTACAACAGTCTCACCAGAGCATGGTGTCAGCAAGACTGAAAGATTACTTCCAAATTCTAATTTGCTACAATTTTACCAGGTACTATTTTTTTCATACCTACCTGCTAACTTCTTGCTTGTGGAACTAACAGGATGGTTTGTTAGAAGTACCTGTTCAATTAAAGCTTTTTTTTAATCTTGTTTTTCTATAATTTCATGGAAGGAAAATAGCAAACATCTTGCATGGTTGATTCAATTAAGATCCAACTAAATATCGTAGCACCTTTATAATTTTATTATGCTCAGGAATATGTCATTTATTTTATTTATACACAGTGCATTTCAAATTCACTTCATTATTATAGCAGAAAACTTTTTATTTAGCCAGATTTGTGAGATGTACATTTTAGGTTTTTTAGTGTTTAAGAGGAGTTAAAATTCTACTACAAGATTATCTAGGCTACCTTATTTTTATGAAAGTATTCCAAATCACAAGTAGGCTTTTAAATACCATCAATTCATTAAAGAATTTCTTAATTTTAATTGTGAATTTAAAAAGATAGTTCTCATCTTTATAGCTTTTGGAGAACTGGCTCTAAATTTCTTCTGTGATGGTTTAGGTTATAGACCACATGATTAATTCTCGATTGATTAAATATGGACTGCATATTAAATTACCTTTTACTGCAAAATTAATCATATTGTCCATATTGTACATGATAATGTGAGTTTATGAGTCTCAGAAAGTTATTATGTGAAGTTTTTATTCAAATGTATGTGTCAAGTTATAGACTTTAAATCAGGTTGCCATCTGAAATATCTAGTTGCATGGAATGATGTTGTATAAATAAACAATGTCTTTGCTTAGAACATTACCTAACTGTCTTTCTATTAGAAGGCATTATAGTACTTGAAGTAGAAAGCACTTCAGCTTCTTGAGTACACAGAGTCATTTTCTTGCAAAACTGGCTTTGACGTAATTTGTGGTTCTGTTAACACATTCCTCTTCTCTGCCTAGTCAGAGAATCTGCATGTACTTTTAAAGTGAAGACTCTTCAGACTGTGTAAATAAATTGCATTTTCTTTTAAAAATGTCACATCTATGCCAAATAACAGAAATGGCCACCACGCTGTGGTTTGAGGTCAAGGCCTTTTTATGAAGCTGGAAAGGTTTGGTTGTTGGTTGATCAGCCATTTGTAGGATATTTACAACTTTCCACTGAAGACTCTATACAAGAAGAAATTCCAGTAAGCAATCAGCAAGATAAAAGTCACAAAAAGCCTTAGTTTGGAGTGTATATAAACAAGTTTGGTTATTCTTGGCCAAACCTGATCTGTGACACATAAATTTCTTTTTCTGTGCTGAAATGCAGGCATCTTTAAGTCAGTTAAAAAAAGGTGGTAAACTCCAAACGAAAGTAGTATATTATTATAGATTTCAAGTGTCATAGATATACAAATTGCTTTAAGAAGTGTGAGAGGAAGTTGCCTATGAATTAACATTGTAAAAATATAAGTTAGAATAATTTTGAAGACTATTCTTTAGTCTGACACTAGGCTCTTCAGTTTTGCCCTATTGAAGCTGTTTCGTATGGCATGAACATTAATTCATTTTAATTAAATTAAGGAGTACAATCATGGGCTGCCATGTGTGATGACTTCTGTGAAGAGAGTCAACTTCTCACAGATCCAACTTAAATTAATAGATGTTCAGAATTCCTTTCCAGCCATACTTCCACAAGTCCTGTAAGTTCCTTGGACTAAATTGTTTCAGTATTGGTTGAAAGAGTGAGATTCAGTGTGCATTTCTATTTCCTCATTCTTCAACCTATCACATAGTTTGGCTTTTAAACTTCATTGCCAACTTTAGCAACATTTGCTGTAGCAGTAATTCATAATGTCTAAGAGCTTTTAATACTCTTCAGTAGATCATTTCATATTAGCTTCTTGGAAAAGATTAAGTAGGAGGCTAGAACAACTCTCACTTAAATTACTTTTCTATCATATTGCTTTACCTACAAATTATCCCCTTTATAGAGTGAGCCAAAAGACTCCCTCTTGGGTACTTTAAATAAAACAGCAAAACACTTCAGGCTTTTGCCAATGAAACAGAAATAGGTGTTCTATGGAAGGAGATGCCTGCCCTCACAGCTTGGGTTTGCTTTTGGTTTTGTGTACTGTAAAGGCAGCTCCAAGCAAGAAGAAATGCCAGAGTAACATGAATGAAGAGCACATGAAAGGAAATGGCTGGGTTGCTTTAACAGGAGTCATGGGAAATACATGAAACAGAGGTTGTGACTAACTAATGACAAAGGTTGTCTAAAGATTTATTGATGAGGAGAATTTTGAGGTTTTTTTCTGATGCAAACTCTCAAATTTTGCTTTACAGGAAATATTAGCAAAAATTGTACAAGTAATGGATGGTCAGATATTTTTCCTGACATCTTAAGTACTTGTGGATATAATGACTATGAAGATGACTATAAGGTAGGAAAAATACTTTTTGAATTTATTTAGGTGCTGGTGTTCAGTACAGCTATTAGGCATATTCTTTTTCTAAATAATACCCATTTTACTCAGACTTAATGAAAATCAGACAATGAAAATCTGTAGTAATTTTTGGTGGCATTCATTGCAATATGCTTGGTGTACAGCTGTCTAGTGAGATAAAATCAGAAATGTAGAATTCAGTAACTGAAATTCAAGGCTATAAACAGTTGGCAATTGCAGTAATGCATCTGTGTTTCTAATATTGCAGTGTTACTTAGCTTGTGCACTGTGTGTTTTGCATTGTGTTATTTCTGGAAGTATCAGTTATTTCAAAAGAATATTCAAAAGAAGTTATTTCAAAACCTAAAACTGTAATAATCTGTAATTAAATAAATTTAAAATTAAATTAATTTAAATTAAATAAAGGAATTAAAACCATTTGATTGCTGGTATGTGTTTAAGTTATAAGTGAAACAGAATTAATTTAGGTCATTAGAGATTGCAGATTTATATCATACTTTAAATTCTGTTAGAAATTAGAAGTGGTTTGAAAAGCTATCAAGGTATCTTAAATACACAGTGCATGGAAAACTGAATCTGTTCACTTTGCAGATACTGTTTCTTGTTGTCAAGGGAAGGATT